TGGCGACAGGTTCACAGATCGCAGCCCCGCAGGGACGGCGAGGTCTCATTTGAATCTGCCCGTGGCCCTCACTGTGCTGGCCCCCCCAGCAGGCCTCGAAAATGGCGGCAGTTTCGCAGATCGCAGCCCCCCAGGGATGGCGAGGTCAAATTTGAATCCGCGCGTGGCCCTCACTGTGCTGGGCCCCCCAGCAGGCCTCGAAAGTGGCGACAGTTTCACAGATCGCAGCCCCCCAGGGATGGCGAGGTCTAATTTGAATCTGCGCGTCGCCCTCACTGTGCTGGGCCCCCCAGCAGGCCTCGAAAATGGCGACAGTTTCGCAGATCGCAGCCCCCCAGGGATGGCGAGGTCTAATTTGAATCCGCGCGTGGCCCTCACTGTGCTGGGCCCCCCAGCAGGCCGGCCTCGAAAATGGCGACAGTTTCGCAGATCGCAGCCCCCCAGGGATGGCGAGGTCTAATTTGAATCGCGCGTGGCCCTCACTGTGCTGGGCCCCCCAGCAGGCCTCGAAAATGGCGACAGTTTCGCAGATCGCAGCCCCCCAGGGATGGCGAGGTCTAATTTGAATCCGCGCGTGGCCCTCACTGTGCTGGGCCCCCCAGCAGGCCTCGAAAATGGCGACAGTTTCGCAGATCGCAGCCCCCCAGGGATGGCGAGGTCTAATTTGAATCTGCGCGTGGCCCTCACTGTGCTGGGCCCCCCAGCAGGCCTCGAAAATGGCGACAGTTTCGCAGATCGCAGCCCCCCAGGGATGGCGAGGTCTAATTTGAATCCGCGCGTGGCCCTCACTGTGCTGGGCCCCCCAGCAGGCCTCGAAAATGGCGACAGTTTCGCAGATCGCAGCCCCCCAGGGATGGCGAGGTCTAATTTGAATAGCCCGTGGCCCTCACTGTGCTGGGGCCCCCAGCAGGCCTCGAAAATGGCGACAGTTTCGCAGATCGCAGCCCCCCAGGGATGGCGATGTCTAATTTGAATCTGCCCGTGGCCCTCACTGTGCTGGGCCCCCCAGCAGGCCTCGAAAATGGCGACAGTTTCGCAGATCGCAGCCCCCCAGGGATGGCGAGGTCTAATTTGAATCCGCCCGTGGCCCTCACTGTGCTGGGCCCCCCAGCAGGCCTCGAAAATGGCGACAGTTTCGCAGATCGCAGCCCCCCGCAGGCAAGACAAGAAGAGGGGGGACGGGAAAAGGAGGAAGGGAGGGAGGAGGGACGCGACCACACTGCTCTATTCAAAACGAATACCCAACCAAGGAGGGTTGGGAAACACATACAGAGACACAGGGTTTCGCAACACTGAATTACCTTGGCGACGTACCCAACCCCTGCGCAAAAGCGGGGCGCAAATAGTTTAGGATACGTTATAAAGGGGGCGATGACGGAGCGAGGGTTGCATATGTCTGCAGCCGGAATTCGGGAGACTCGCAGGACACTGGCTACAGGAAAAGGGCTAGATAAAACTGATGAGTTACAAGTCCTGGGCACTCCTAGCCACTTCGAAAATGGTGATCACAGCAGGCCTCGAAAGTGGCGACAGTTTCACAGATCGCAGCCCCGCAGGGATGGCGAGGTCTAATTTGGGTCCGCGCGTGGCGTCACTGTGCTGGGCCCCCCAGCAGGCCTCGAAAGTGGCGACAGTTTCACAGATCGCAGCCTCCAGGGGATGGCGAGGTCTCATTTGAATCTGCCCGTGGCGTCACTGCGCTGGGCCCCCCAGCAGGCCTCGAAAGTGGCGACAGTTTCACAGATCGCAGCCCCCAAGGGATGGAGAGGTCTCGTTTGAATATGCCCGTGGCGTAACTGTGCAGGGCCCCCCAGCAGGCCTCGAAAGTGGCGACAGTTTCACAGATCGCAGCCCCCCCAGAGATGGCGAGGTCTAATTTGAATCCGCGCGTGGCCCTCACTGTGCTGGGCCCCCCAGCAGGCCTCGAAAATGGCGACAGTTTCACAGATCGCAGCCCCCCAGGGATGGCGAGGTCTCGTTTGAATCTGCCCGTGGCGTCACTGTGCTGGGCCCCCCAGCAGGCCTCGAAAGTGGCGACAGTTTCACAGATCGCACCCCCCCAGGGATGGCGAGGTCTCATTTGAATCTGCCCGTGGCCCTCACTGTGCTGGGCCCTCCAACAGTCCTCGAAAATGGCGACAGTTTCACAGATCGCCCCCTCCAGGGATGGCGAGGTCTAATTTGAGTCTGCCCGTGGCCCTCACTGTGCTGGGCTCCCCAGCAGGCCTCGAAAATGGCGACAGTTTCACAGATCGCAGCCCCCCCAGGGATGGCGAGGTCTCATTTGAATCTGCCCGTGGCCCTCACTGTGCTGGCCCCCCCCAGCAGGCCTTGAAAATGCGTGGCGGTTTCACAGATCGCAGCCCCCCAGGGATGGCGAGGTCTAATTTGAATCCGCGAGTCACCCTCACTGTGCTGGGCCCCCCAGCAGGCCTCGAAAATTGCGACAGTTTCACAAATCGCAGCCCCCCCAGGGATGTCGAGGTCTAATTTGAATCTCCCCGTGGCCCTCACTGTGCTGGGCCCCCAAGCAGGCCTCGAAAATGGCGACAGTTTCACAGATCGCAGCCCCCCCAGAGATGGCGAGGTCTAATTTGAATCTGCCCGTGGCCCTCACTGTGCTGGGCCCCCCAGCAGGCCTCGAAAATGGCGACAGTTTCGCAGATCGCAGCCCCCCAGGGATGGCGAGGTCTAATTTGAATCCGCGCGTGGCCCTCACTGTGCTGGGCCCCCCAGCAGGCCTCGAAAATGGCGACAGTTTCACAGATCGCAGCCCCCCAGGGATGGCGAGGTCTAATTTGAATCCGCGCGTGGCCCTCACTGTGCTGGGCCCCCCAGCAGGCCTCGAAAATGGCGACAGTTTCACAGATCGCAGCCCCCCAGGGATGGCGAGGTCGAATTTGAATCTGCCCGTGGCCCTCACTGTGCTGGGCCCCCCAGCAGGCCTCGAAAATGGCGACAGTTTCACAGATCGCAGCCCCCCAGGGATGGCGAGGTCTAATTTGAATCTGCCCGTGGCCCTCACTGTGCTGGGCCCCCCAGCAGGCCTCGAAAATGGCGACAGTTTCGCAGATCGCAGCCCCCCAGGGATGGCGAGGTCTAATTTGGAATCTGCCCGTGGCCCTCACTGTGCTGGGCCCCCCAGCAGGCCTCGAAAATGGCGACAGTTTCGCAGATCGCAGCCCCCCGCAGGCAAGACAGGAAGAGGCAGGGAGGGAGGGAGGAATGGAGGGAGGAGGGACGCGACCACACTGCTCTATTCAAAACGAATACCCAACCAAGGAGGGTTGGGAATTATTCAAAAAGCTTACTTGCGCGATCTTGCGAAATCTTCAGAAGACCATCGGTTTTCATTATTTTCAAAAGATGCTACCAAACGGGCTTCGCGCGCGCATGTCGAACTCGTTCGAACGCCCTTGCGCGCGTGCCGTCGCCAGAATCCTGAGCAACAAATGGGACGAAGTGCACGCGCGCGCGTCGTCGCGCGCGCATGCCGAAATCCTTCACAAACTTTCGGTTTCGAAAGGATTTCAAAATCGAGTTTCCAAGAGCATACAAAAACACAGGGTTTCGCGAAACTGAATTTCTACAAAAGCGTGCGCGCGCGCTCTTGCGTCGTCGTCGTCGCCGTCCTCCCTCCGTCGTCGTCGTTGTCGTCGTCGCCACCGTCGTCGTCCTCTGTCTTTCTTCGTCGTCGTCGTCGTCGTCCTCTTTGGCGTCGTCGTCGTTTCAGTCGTCGTTGTCGCCGTGGTCGTTCTTCCTCCTCCTTCGTCGTCGTCGTCGTCCGTCGTCGGCGTCTCGTGGTCGTCCCTCCTATTTCGTCGCCGTCGTCGTCGTCGTCGTCGTCGTCGTCGTCGTCGTCGTCGTCGTCTTCCTTCCTCCTTCGTCGTTGTCGGCGTCGTCGTCGCCGTCCTCCCTCCTTCTTTGTCGTTCGCGTCGTCGCCGTTCTCCCTCCTCCCTGGTCGGTGTCGTCGTTGTCGCCGTCGTCGTCCTCCCTCCTCCCTCGTCGTCGTCGTCGTCGTCTTCGTTGGCGACGTCGTCGTCGTCGTCGTCTTCGTCGTCGGCGTCGTCGTCGTCGTCGTCGTCGGCGTCGGCGTCGACATCGTCGTCGTCGTCGTCGTCGCCCGCGTCGTGGTCGGCGTCGGCGTCGTCGTCGTCGTCGTCGGCCGTCGGCGTTGTCGTCGTCGGCGTCGTTGTCGGTGTCGCCGTCGTCGTCGTCGTCGTCATCGTCGTCGTCGTCGTCGTTGTCGTCGTCGTCGAAGTCGTCGGAGACGTCGTCGGTGTCGTCGTAGTCGTCGGCGTCATCGTCGTCGTCGCTGTCGCTGTCGTCGTCGGCGTCGCTGTCGTTGCGAAGTGCAAATGGTACCCACCGTCACGGTCTTAAGAAGTCTTGCGACCAAGTTGCGGGTGGGAGGGTGGGATGTTTGCACGAGCAGTGGAGAGGACAGCGTCAAGACAGTCAAAGTGAGTTGCACCGCGTAGACTATAC